GTACGATATCCCCTTTGCTTTTTCCCACAGAAACGAAATCCAGCTTGCCCTCCGGAGACCTGTCGCCGAGTTCTGGGGAAAGTATCGACCGATTGTACTGATTTATTGATTTTCATTTCTCGTCACAGCTAAGAATTGGTGCGCTGGGTAAGTTGATGGGCTGATAACAAATATGATAATCACTCAAACATTTATCGACTAATCTATTAAATTATTGGTTTTTCGCATTTTCTGTTCAATGGTGCTGGAGATTGGTGTACTGAGGTAACTTGGTATGCTGCAAAGCATTTCGAGTTATGATAAGCAAAGTAAAACTTTCAAACGGTTTTGTTGATTTATTTGCGCTTTTCTGCTTTAGATTACTGGAGAAATTGGTATAATGGGGTAGATTGATACGCTAATAGAGAATTGATGACCGAATTCGAAGACTCATTATCGAATTTATTGACTTATTGATTTTTCGAACTTTTGACATTGAATTTTTCTCACTTGAATTGAATTTGTAACTGGAGATGCTTTGTCTTATGATGCTTTAATATACTGAAATCATCACATACCTGTGAAGTTAAACAAGTTCTCAAAACTTAATGTTACTTTCTGTCCGTGCCGTAAGGGTTCTCTAATAGGTTAATCATAAAGTGCAAGGAAGAAAGGATTTATTACACTATTTGCCTGATAGTGTACTCTAAATTTATAGCCATAGAAACGGAGATCTCATAAAACTTAGCCGGACGTGAAATGTGATTAGTTACTTGTCTGACATCAATCTCGCGGACTATTACTTCTGGTGTGTGCTTAAGAAAAGGAATATGGATGGACAAAAACCAAGATGGAGCAGTGATTGGAAGCAGCATTGAAAATTAGTGGAGTTCACTAAGAGACGAGGGCAGGAGAGAGTACAGAGAGCACTAGAAAGTAGCAAAAGATGACAAAAGTGACAAAACGAATGTAAGAAAAAAGAGTGTCTATAATTCTCCTCGCATCTTTTTTGAATTTTTAAAAGACTATATGGGACAATGCAGTTTGTGACTGGTGTAATTGGTACGAAGAGACAAGCGAAGAACATTATGAAAAGGCGAAGGAGTTGTCTGTCCCAGCTAATGCTTGAAATTGACAATAAATGGAATCCCAGGGCGTTTAGGCATAACTAATAAACTCAGAGGTGTATCTCAAT